AATATTACCTCGGTTGTATTTTTAAATACTCTATACAAATCCAATAATTTCACATGTAATTTTTACATGCAGAATACAAAAGTATATATCGACGGCGAAGACGAAAATCGAATAATCGACGGATTAATTATTTACCTGGTCCTACGTTTTTTCATGCGAGTTACCTTGGCCACCTAGTGGCGCGGCAGCGAACTAGTGTTCGCTCGGATACTCCGAGTCTGGTTAGGGACTCTTGTCACAGATTTCAGCAATATATCAGAAAGTTTTATTTATTATATTGCCCTGAAATATTGCGCAATATTTGACATAAAGACATCAACAACATTGCTGTCGCAATGAAATATTGGAATATTGATGTAATGTTTTCGAAATATAGTGTGCTGTGTGGGCATATGCACGATTTTCCTTTAAATACATTCGTATGTTCATCTTATCTAAATTATTAATAAAAACAAATGAGAAGCTACCCTAAAAATTAAGGTAAGGTCTACAACAAATAACACATAGTTATTTAAGAAAATGATTTTATATTTATTTATGTGCACTTGCATATGTGATCTACAATCCGAAAATATACATTCCCAATAGAAAGCAATAAAAGTTATAACACTGAAATTAGTTTCTATTATATAATCTTTGATACGCGTGATAAATCCTACAATTTCTCCATCATTAATTTTATTTAGAATGTTGTTTGTGTTATTAATATCACTCGAAACAAATGGTGCTTGTTTCTTGCAAACAATTTGCGCGTGCGCGTTACAGTCTCTTTTAGTACAAATCCCTACTCATAGGCAGCGCCACAAGATAGCTTGGTACGGCGACCAACGAGGCAGCAGCCAATCCGGACAGAGGACATCCGTGGCGGCGGCGCCCTCAGCAGTTCGACGAGCGGGAAGCTTCCAGTCGCTTCTAGTCGTCTCGCATCACTCGCATCTAGCATACCAGCATGTCCGGCTTCCTGTACACGTTAACTAATTAATAAAGATAGTGTGTGTTTTGTATTATCTCCTGCAACACTTACTTACCTGCCTCGCCGGCCACATTGGGATTTTCGGGGCGCCATCTACCCGCCGGGATTGGAACTAAAATTTTACTATAGTATATGCTTGACATACCCCCACCACGTCCTCCGCACGACTATACCTATCTACACTCAACGGTCTAAGCAGGCCTTGCGGGCTGACTAGTGACGTCATCTACGCTCCGTTATACGCGTTGTGATTGGTCGCATTACTGCAACTTCAACCTTAATTATCTCGAAATTTTGATATATGAAATAAAAAATGTAAATACACGTATTTATTAGAATTTGACAAGGAATGCAACGGTGTTACTACAGTGCGTTTCATAACGAACACCCTGTATATCCCTGTATACCTATATACATATATCGCGTTAGTGATATAACCTACCGATAAGATGGCGTTGCTGCTCGTGCTAACAGTCTATAGCACGGGAGTGCCGTGTCTCCAATAAGTGGGCTGTGGTCTGGTCCACAGTTAAAAAAGGAATTGTTTGACAGAAGATATTTTGAAACTCAGTTTAGGAAATAACCAATTCATAGATTAAATTGTTTGTTAATTCTACAGAAAAGTGATTGAGTTGTGCACATTACGGTTCACAGTATCAATATGTCAGTAGAAAATGATATTTTTTATAACAGTGAACTTCAATTACCTCAGGATTTTGAAGATGATGTGGTTCAAGAAGTTCTCAAGACTGGTACTGATCTTCGACAGTATTCGAGACAAATCGAGAAAGAACTGAAAGAGGTTGAAAATAGATCTATTCAAGATTATATCAAAGAAAGTCAGAATATAGCTAGTCTACATAACCAGATAGCTGCGTGTGATAATATTTTGGAGGTTAGTGCACATTTTTGGAATTTGTAAGTTTAATTATACAATCGTTTTCACTTTAATATTCTGGCAAACTGTTTGTTTCCTATCAGTGAAGATGATATTGTTATGAAAGAGCTGACAGACATGGTTAATTTAAATTGATCCTAAAATAGGTAACTGACAATGGGTAAATATCATTTGCTCATTGATAGTTTATAATATTCTGAAGATTACTTCTTGATACATGTTATGAGGTGGCTTATTTTTCTATTTTTAGATATTTTGTTCAGCTCCTATAGCCAATGTATTATACAAGTTCAATCTAGATGATCGATAATGTGTAAAAATAGGTGATAGTATGCAAAGTTTTAACATTGGTTGTTCATTTTGGATCATTGACATATTACATGACAGTACCTTAAGGACTTACAAAATTTCATGCTCTACCAATGACATGTCTATGTGAAGCCATTTTTACGATTACTATTTCATGTTGTAAATGAAATTTCATGCATTTATAAATACAGAACACATGTATGTTATCGGTTCCATGGCTAGAGACAGCAGTGGATTTTCTATGTAGTCATTCTATTACTATCGATAGTATTGATAGAAAATACTGTATATTATATATATCAATATCAAACAATTATGCAGGAATTTGGTATGTCATGATGTATTTTTCAAAGTATTCTATATGAATCATAATATAAATTATGCTATGAAATTCTTTTGGAAGAAATTATTGGTGCAAACCTTATGAAGGCATGGGTTAAAAGGTAGGGCATTCATAGTTCTCAATCTGTTGAAAAACCACTTTGAATTTGTGGACCAACTATAAATCAAACACAATGTGTCATACCCAATTCATACAGCATGTTTTCAGCAAACAAACAAGGAATATAATTTTACAATATAAATATATAGATAGCAGACATTTGTTATATATTACTGCATACTTACCCCC